CATCACCCTTCCCCACCAATACCACCACACTTTCACTATCACCACATTTCTGTTTTAATTATTTTTTGGATTACTGTTCAAACAAATTTTACAATTTTCTATTTTATAGAATTATTTTTAAAAATCATATAATCAAACAAGTTTTGTGACACAAAAAATAATTTTTTAAAACTCTTCTCAAAAATAATTTTTGAATTTTGTTTTTTTGAGACACAAACTTTGTGGAAGCAAATCCTTGGAGAGGTGCAAATGACTATAGACGAGAGCGAACACTAGACTGTTCAACTTCAGGCTCAGCCCATTTATTTTCAAAAAACGAATTTGTGATTGACTCGAGATTGGGAGGAGCTTTGAACATCTTGTTCAAGATCGGCTTTTTATTTTTTCTTCTGAAATCGGCCTCTGTTTGGCTTTCTCTGTAATCTGGTGATTGGTTAAATGAATTGAGCTCAAACTCTATACAATATTACACCCATGTCATGATTAATTTTAGATGAGTTCCATAGTCCATTACTCTAGCTCGGCTAGTTTAGTTAACAAGTTATAAATTTGAACTTGAGCTAGATTCATTCTCTGAGTTGTTGAAGCACAATTTGATTCATTTGTAGCTCTAATTCTATAATTCAGAAAAAAAAACAGACTTTCTGGAAGCAAATCCTTGGTTACTCACTGAGGGAGGTTTANTATAATTAGTGTTCTCTCCAAAACCCTTAATCTATCTTACTATATTAAGTATTTCTTAAAAATAGTGATTATGATTAATCTAATATGTCGTAGTTTTTTATTAGATAAAAACATATTTTATAAATATTTTCAAAATAAAAATCGAAAGGGTAAAACTGAAAATTAATTTATTTTCAGATGTCAACTCTGTGTAGTTATTAAACGGTTTGACAAATAGTCCACGAATTTAGCATTCAACTTTCAGACTTCAACTTTTACTTTTATTAAATACCACATTATTCTTCCCTCAGTCTCCACTATAAGCAAGAGAATTGAAAAACGAAAAATGAAGTATTTATGCATTGAGGGAAAAAAATATATACATAGCTTGTAAAAAAATATACATAGATTTATGTGACCATTTCAACCTTTTATTTTTCCACTTTCTTTTATTTGGTTGATAGAAATGCCTTTTATTTTTTTCTGATAAATCATCTAAAAAATTTCACATGGCCGAGATCAGCTTGGATACTAAAGCGCCAAAACTGATGTGCTTGGCAAAGAATAAAATATTTTTTTTAAAAAAAACAAAAAAAGTGATGAGGATGCTTACATAATCAGAAAGGGGTACTAGTATAAAATTTTAAACTATAAGAATAATTTTTGAAAGTGTAAACTATAAAGGCTCTCAGTATAATTACCCATTTTTTGTTTTCTTATTGTTTATATTTCAAGTGTGCTTAGAAGCCAATAAACCATGGATCATGGATGGATTTGGCAACTTTCCATTTTCTTTCTCATTGTGACAAAAACATGTGGCAAAGCTGCCCCTTGAAATGTCAGAATAGGAAGCCTACAAGGTTGTGTCTAATATGATGTATATGACTGCAACTAACAAAAAGCAACAATCTATGTCCCCAATATACTCTAATAGTTTGTTGCTAGGGACCCCGCATGAGATCGTGCAATGCATGACATTTATATTTTGTCTGTTCTAGTTTTATCCATCTATTTAATTTTTTTTCACACCATCTCATCAATCCCCTTACTCCTCCACTTCTANAGTAGGAGATCTCTTACTTAATTCTGAAAGCTAAAAGCACTCAACAAAAACATCTTTACTAAAATTTACAAAATGATAATTCTACCTAAAATATTTCACAGTTCTATTAAAATTCTAATTAGTGTTCTCTCCAAAACCCTTAATNTGATAATTCTACCTAAAATATTTCACAGTTCTATTAAAATTCTAATTAGTGTTCTCTTCAAAACCCTTAATTTATCTTACTATATTAAGTACTTCTTAAAAATAGTGATTATGATTAATCTAATATATCGTAGTTTTTTATTAGATAAAAACATATTTTATAAATATTTCAAAATAAAAATCAAAAGGATAAAACTGAAAATTAATTTATTTTCAGATGTCAGCTCTGTGTAGTTATTAAACAGTTTGACAAACAATCCACGAATTTAACATTCAACTTTTAAATTTCAACTTTTACTTTTATCAAACACCACCTTAGTCTTCCCTCAGTCTCCACTATAAGCAAGAGAATTGAAAAACGAAAAATGAAGTATTTATCAACCTTTTATTTTTCCACTTTCTTTTATTTGGTTGATAGAAATGCCTTTTATTTTTATATGATAAATCATCTAAAAAAATTCACATGGCCGAGATCAGCTTGGATACTAAAGAGCCAAAACTGATGTGCTTGGCAAAAAATGACATATTTTTTTTAAAAAAAACAAAAAAAGTGATGAGGATGCTTACATAAATAGAAAGGGGTACTAGTATAAAATTTGAAACTATATGAATATTTTTTGAAAGTGTAAACTATAAAGGCTCTCAGTATAATTACCCATTTTTTGTTTTCTTATTGTTTATATTTCAAGTGTGCTTAGCTGAGCTTCAGCCAATAAACCATGGATCATGGATGGAATTGGCAACTTTCCATTTTCTTTCTCATTGTGACAAAAACATGTGGCAAAGCTGCCCCTTGAAATGTCAGAATAGGAAGCCTACAAGGTTGTGTCTAATATGATGTATATGACTGCAACTAACAAAAAGCAACAATCAATGTCCCCAATATACTCTAATAGTTTGTTGCTAGGGACCCCGCATGAGATCGTGCAATGCATGACATTTATATTTTGTCTGTTCTAGTTTTATCCATCTATTTAATTTTTTTTCACACCATCTCATCAATCCCCTTACTCCTCCACTTCTACCACATCTCGACATATTTTGAATAGAAAATAAATTCGATAATTAAAAAGAGTCTTTTCAAAGATGGTGATTAAAGATAAGAGAAATAAGACTGTTGATTTTTAACTCAGATTTAAAAGATTCGATTGACAAATGGATAGACTCGTTAGACCTTTTAAGTAATGAGTTAACACAAATCTGTTAAACACAATATCAACACCATATATATANTAGCTTGTGCTTGATTATTTTATAATAAGCTCGTATCAATACAATCTAAAAAATGGGGTAAGACTTGAAACGATGGCAAGTGATTAGTGGACTAGTGCTAATCGATTTTGAGAATTAGCCTCTATGAAATGGTTGTAAGACTATCCATTATTTAAAATGTGTTTGTTAAACCAAATTCAACACGTAAAATAAATATATTCCATATTTATTAATTAAAATCATTTGATAACTAAAAATTGAATATACTAATATATTAGTTACTCCTTAAAAATAAGTTAAAATATTAAATATGAGATCCCTTACTTAATTCTAAAAGCTAAAAGCACTCAACAAAAACATCTTTACTAAAATTTACAAAATGATAATTCTACCTAAAATATTTCACAGTTCTATTAAAATTATAATTAGTGTTCTCTCCAAAACCCTTAATCTATCTTACTATATTAAGTATTTCTTAAAAATAGTGATTATGATTAATCTAATATGTCGTAGTTTTTTATTAGATAAAAACATATTTTATAAATATTTTCAAAATAAAAATCGAAAGGGTAAAACTGAAAATTAATTTATTTTCAGATGTCAACTCTGTGTAGTTATTAAACGGTTTGACAAATAGTCCACGAATTTAGCATTCAACTTTCAGACTTCAACTTTTACTTTTATTAAATACCACATTATTCTTCCCTCAGTCTCCACTATAAGCAAGAGAATTGAAAAACGAAAAATGAAGTATTTATGCATTGAGGGAAAAAAATATATACATAGCTTGTAAAAAAATATACATAGATTTATGTGACCATTTCAACCTTTTATTTTTCCACTTTCTTTTATTTGGTTGATAGAAATGCCTTTTATTTTTTTCTGATAAATCATCTAAAAAATTTCACATGGCCGAGATCAGCTTGGATACTAAAGCGCCAAAACTGATGTGCTTGGCAAAGAATAAAATATTTTTTTTAAAAAAAACAAAAAAAGTGATGAGGATGCTTACATAATCAGAAAGGGGTACTAGTATAAAATTTTAAACTATAAGAATAATTTTTGAAAGTGTAAACTATAAAGGCTCTCAGTATAATTACCCATTTTTTGTTTTCTTATTGTTTATATTTCAAGTGTGCTTAGAAGCCAATAAACCATGGATCATGGATGGATTTGGCAACTTTCCATTTTCTTTCTCATTGTGACAAAAACATGTGGCAAAGCTGCCCCTTGAAATGTCAGAATAGGAAGCCTACAAGGTTGTGTCTAATATGATGTATATGACTGCAACTAACAAAAAGCAACAATCAATGTCCCCAATATACTCTAATAGTTTGTTGCTAGGGACCCCGCATGAGATCGTGCAATGCATGACATTTATATTTTGTCTGTTCTAGTTTTATCCATCTATTTAATTTTTTTTCACACCATCTCATCAATCCCCTTACTCCTCCACTTCTACCACATCTCGACATATTTTGAATAGAAAATAAATTCGATAATTGAAAAGAGTCTTTTCAAAGATGGTGATTAAAGATAAGAGAAATAAGACTGTTGATTTTTAACTCAGATTTAAAAGATTCGATTGACAAATGGATAGACTCGTTAGACCTTTTAAGTAATGAGTTAACACAAATCTGTTAAACACAATATCAACACCATATATATAGATATTGTTATATACAATATAAACTCTGACACGATAAATTCTGTAGAGAGGAGACAACGCATGAATTGAAATAGTGTAGTTAAAGATAGAATTCAATGTAACGTTGTCAATGGGCCATTTCAAATTAATCTGCCCAATCTTTGTCTCTATTTCATCAATGTCCACTAGCGTAGCCCTATATATGCATGCACTAATAACCTCCCTTCATTCATATTGTTCTTTTCCTTGTCTATCCAAAGCTAGCTAGCCATGACAAGGGCTTACGAATCTGCCCACGAGGTGAACTTCGCCACNCATATTGGCAGGCTGGGAATTTTGGTAGATTTTTTGTCACATTCGACCATCACTGGTTTCATGGGAGGGACAGCAACACTTATCTGCCTGCAGCAATTGAAGGGCATGTTTGGGTTGAAGCATTTTACTACCCATACTGATATGGTTTCTGTTTTGCGTGCAATTTTGAGCCACAGAGATGAGGTTTACTCTCTCTCTCTCTCTCCCCCAAGTTTTTTTTTTTTTCAAATGTTCAGTTGTTCATGGACTTTCACCGTTGAAAATTTCTATATTGTGATCATTTTGAATTTTTCAGAGGAAAAAAATAAGCATAAGAAAGAGATCAGTGTTGTCTTTAGCTTTAATTATTATTTTTAAGAAAATGTTAAATATACTTAAAAAACGAATACAATCAAAGGGAGGTGGGTTCCAATAAATACTGAAACTTACAGTTAAATCAATGACAAACGACTAATTTTCTTCTCGGTCCGGTCAAAGNATCAGTGTTGTCTTTAGCTTTAATTATTATTTTTAAGAAAATGTTAAATATACTTAAAAAACGGATACAATCAAAGCGAGGTGGGTTCCAATAAATACTGAAACTTACAGTTAAATCAATGACAAACGACTAATTTTCTTCTCGGTCCGGTCAAAGGTAAGTCATCTACAGTAGAACTGATTACAAGAGATTATCAAGATTTAAATTCAGCACGTCTGAATTTACTAAGGGTGTCAAATCTGACTCGTTGATGCAAACTCGACACGAATGATTAAAAATTGATACGATTATTAAATAAACATAATAAATNACTGATTACAAGAGATTATCAAGATTTAAATTCAGCACGTCTGAATTTACTAAGGGTGTCAAATCTGACTCGTTGATACAAACTCGACACGAATGATTAAAAATTGATACGATTATTAAATAAACATAATAAATATTCTAAACTAATATTTAATACTCAGAAGTCAGAACACAATACATAGATATTTTTTTGTGAATCTTGACAGGAACACGGTACGAATAATAATAACAAGACATGAATAAAATGAAATGCGAGTCATACGAACATGACACAATTGACACCCTTAGAATTTAAAGTTGATCTTTATTACCAGTTGAATTATCCTTGAAATTTTAACTTTTTTTTGCATCTCTCTAATAAAGTGGTGTATGCAGGGGGAGCCATTTCGTGGCTTGGAGTAGCCATGGCCCCCCAGGTTTCTAAAATTATGTTTTTATCCCATAATCGTTCTTAAAACAATTTTCCAGTTGTTTTTTGTGTATTAAGTTCTTCAACCAGTTTCTGATGACTTTTTAATTTTACAGTGGAGATGGGAGAGCGCCGTGGTGGGTATAATCTTTCTTATTTTCCTCCAATTCACTAGATACGTGGTAAGTTCTCCTTTTACATACATACCTACATATATAAGCACATGAAAGTCTGAACCTAGGGCCGAAATTGAAGCAAAATTACCGAGCATTAGTTTAACCTTGACAAATTCGGTTTGTAACTGGATTGATCTGCCACACTAGTGTAATAAATATGTGGCATAACCGCGACATGATACAAATCCAATCTATAAACTACGTACAATAATTGAGTCGGGTAGAGTTAAATAAAATTTTGAAACTTGCAAGACAGAAAATCAAACCCGATACGAAACCAACATCATACGTTCCATTATCGGCACTATATACGTGGTCACATATAGAGTTGAACAAAAAGAATTGGTTCATTATATTGAGAAACAATACTAACAAAACCAAATTGAATTGACAGAAGCGTAAGAAGCCAAGTTTATTTTGGGTATCAGCTATAGCTCCAATGGTGACCGTCCTTATTGGTTGTCTCTTTGCTTATTTTGCTCATGCAGAGAAACATGGAATCCAAATTGTGAGTTCTCTTCTCCTTGTTTACTATGTATCATCTTGTAGACTGAATAGTGGGTCTTCTATCTTCCTGGACAATAGTTGACTGTGCCAAGAATAAAGTTTTTGCTTTTAGGCTCTATTTGGTTTAGGATAAGGGTATGATATCGAATAAGTCATAAATTTTGGCTTAGATTTATATGTCATTATGGTTGTAAAGTAATAAAATAATAAAATTTAGACATGTTATATATATATATGACAATAAAGAAATATTTCGGTACAAACCCTTTTGTCTTTTACCAATTAGTGTTGCAGTATGACTATATGAGCATGCAAAGTGAAAAGAAGGAAAACATGAGGGGTAATTCAAGTGATAATGTTAATGAATTAGAAAATTAGGTGTTTTAAGTTTGAATTTTGACAATTTTTTAAGGGCCGACCATAAGGGATTTATCCCCATGAATTCCGTAATTTGGGCGTGAATAATCTGCTTTTGATTGGACTAAGGATAAGATTAATTGAGGTGTACTTAAACTGGTCCGGACAATCCTAATCGTTGAGTCAAAAAAAAAAAGAGAAAAAAGGAAAACAATCTATAATTTTGGTTTTCAGAATCAATTAATTATGGTAAAAAATAAAGAACGGTGAAATCAAATAGTTAGATTCATCGTATCATTACAAGATAGATAAGTGACAAATAGTCTCATCTCCATTTTGAAGAAATTAATTAACAGACTCGAACTTACGATGTATTGTATCGAGGGATTCTCAATGGAATATTTTTTGTCGGATATTTTACAAAAATATACCACCAATCATATGTTTTATAATAAAACTGACTATGTTTCGGATTTTTTTTGTGTATTGCAGGTGGGTGACCTGAAGAAAGGAATAAATCCCTCCTCCATTCAACGTTTAACCTTTGATCCTAAATACATATCAGCACCCTTAAAAGCTGGGCTCATCACAGCAATGGTGGCTCTAGCTGTAAGAACACTAGTACCATGTTCTTCTTTGTTTTGTTAGTTTCAAATTCCCCCTTTTTTTGGTTATTAGTAAAATAATTTGCTAATTTGGGTGTGTTTTGTAAATAAAAATTGTTGCAGGAAGGAATAGCTATTGGAAGGAGTTTTGCCATTATGAGAAATGATCATATTGATGGGAACAAGGAGATGATGGCTTTTGGTCTCATGAACATTGTTGGATCTTTCACTTCATGCTATTTGACAACTGGTACTTGTTTAGTTAGAGGCATTATAGCATAATTTAATGGATGCCTATTGGATTGTCTTGGTATCATGCTCGTGCCATATCTTGTTGGGTTTATATCGTGATTGTGAAAACGGTGAACTATAAATTATAGGATTAATACTCATGTCTCTCTTAACCAAATACACCAAACAAGGTCTCCCACAAATTAAAAACGCACACAATCCAAATCCTAGCAAAACTAACACCCTTGATCAAAATAAAACACCTAGTCCACAAAAGAAATGCTATGAACTTAGCTATTTTTAGAGTATAGCGATGTTGGATTTGCAAGACCATTTTGAGAGGCTTTAGTCAATTTCATTACTTACAAACTGGCACTGTACAGACTTAGTTTAACATAGCTCGTACGTGACATAAATTCAATATAACAAGAATCTACTCATGCAATTATAAATTGGTAAGATAAGAATTCACCCTATTTTGACACCACACGAGTTGGATAAAATATGACGCGATGTACTACTGACCCTATATATAGCTATTTTTGATACAAAAAATGTTGGATTTGCAGGTCCATTTTCAAAAACAGCAGTAAATTTCAATGCGGGTTGCAGAACAGCCATGGCTAATGTAGTGATGGCAGTATGTATGATGCTGACCCTCCTGTTCTTGGCTCCTCTGTTTAGCTACACTCCCCTTGTTGCCCTTTCTGCCATTATTATGTCAGCCATGCTGGGTCTGATTGACTATGAAAAGGCTTATCACCTCTACAAGACCGACAAGTTCGATTTCTGCATTTGTATGATTGCCTTCTTCGGTGTTGCCTTCATAAGCATGGACGTTGGCCTCATGATGTCGGTAAGGATCATCTTGACAGAAATTCTACCAAGTCCCCCTCTTTTTTGTATAATTCATGATTTTAGTTAACAATGTAAGTAGCTCGAGCTCGATTCTGTTTTAGTTCATTCAAACTTTTTTAAACTAAAAAATAAATCAAACTTGATCAGATTTTTTATGTTGTTTTTTATAAATAAACTGTATTGAAACAACATGTGACTTGACTTGAGTAACGTTGCCTCCACTCGGCTCAAACAAATTTTTAGTTAACTAACAACTTTGACTGAGAAACGATTATAAANAGGGAGAGGATTAATTGAGGTGTACTTAAACTGGTCCAGACAATCCTAATCGTTGAGTCAAAAAAAAAAAGAGAAAAAAGGAAAACAATCTATAATTTTGGTTTTCAGAATCAATTAATTATGGTAAAAAATAAAGAACGGTGAAATCAAATAGTTAGATTCATCGTATCATTACAAGATAGATAAGTGACAAATAGTCTCATCTCCATTTTGAAGAAATTAATTAACAGACTCGAACTTACGATGTATTGTATCGAGGGATTCTCAATGGAATATTTTTTGTCGGATATTTTACAAAAATATACCACCAATCATATGTTTTATAATAAAACTGACTATGTTTCGGATTTTTTTTGTGTATTGCAGGTGGGTGACCTGAAGAAAGGAATAAATCCCTCCTCCATTCAACGTTTAACCTTTGATCCTAAATACATATCAGCACCCTTAAAAGCTGGGCTCATCACAGCAATGGTGGCTCTAGCTGTAAGAACACTAGTACCATGTTCTTCTTTGTTTTGTTAGTTTCAAATTCCCCCTTTTTTTGGTTATTAGTAAAATAATTTGCTAATTTGGGTGTGTTTTGTAAATAAAAATTGTTGCAGGAAGGAATAGCTATTGGAAGGAGTTTTGCCATTATGAGAAATGATCATATTGATGGGAACAAGGAGATGATGGCTTTTGGTCTCATGAACATTGTTGGATCTTTCACTTCATGCTATTTGACAACTGGTACTTGTTTAGTTAGAGGCATTATAGCATAATTTAATGGATGCCTATTGGATTGTCTTGGTATCATGCTCGTGCCATATCTTGTTGGGTTTATATCGTGATTGTGAAAACGGTGAACTATAAATTATAGGATTAATACTCATGTCTCTCTTAACCAAATACACCAAACAAGGTCTCCCACAAATTAAAAACGCACACAATCCAAATCCTAGCAAAACTAACACCCTTGATCAAAATAAAACACCTAGTCCACAAAAGAAATGCTATGAACTTAGCTATTTTTAGAGTATAGCGATGTTGGATTTGCAAGACCATTTTGAGAGGCTTTAGTCAATTTCATTACTTACAAACTGGCACTGTACAGACTTAGTTTAACATAGCTCGTACGTGACATAAATTCAATATAACAAGAATCTACTCATATGCAATTATAAATTGGTAAGATAAGAATTCACCCTATTTTGACACCACACGAGTTGGATAAAATATGACGCGATGTACTACTGACCCTATATATAGCTATTTTTGATACAAAAAACGTTGGATTTGCAGGTCCATTTTCAAAAACAGCAGTAAATTTCAATGCGGGTTGCAGAACAGCCATGGCTAATGTAGTGATGGCAGTATGTATGATGCTGACCCTCCTGTTCTTGGCTCCTCTGTTTAGCTACACTCCCCTTGTTGCCCTTTCTGCCATTATTATGTCAGCCATGCTGGGTCTGATTGACTATGAAAAGGCTTATCACCTCTACAAGACCGACAAGTTCGATTTCTGCATTTGTATGATTGCCTTCTTCGGTGTTGCCTTCATAAGCATGGACGTTGGCCTCATGATGTCGGTAAGGATCATCTTGACAGAAATTCTACCAAGTCCCCCTCTTTTTTGTATAATTCATGATTTTAGTTAACAATGTAAGTAGCTCGAGCTCGATTCTGTTTTAGTTCATTCAAACTTTTTTAAACTAAAAAATAAATCAAACTTGATCAGATTTTTTATGTTGTTTTTTATAAATAAACTGTATCGAAACAACATGTGACTCTACTTGAGTAACGTTGCCTCCATTCGGCTCAAACAAATTTTTAGTTAACTAACAACTTTGACTGAGAAACGATTATAAACTTCTCCTTAAATAATTGTAGACTATAGATATACTTCGGTATCCTTTTTCTAGTAATTTTTTTAGTAAAACTTAAGCTCATAGGGACTAATTGAACTGGTTTTGGAAGGTTTTTTGGTACAAATTTGATTATCTGAGGATGAATTATCAAAGTTCTAGGGTTTTGTTTTCTAATAATTAAGTCGGATTTCTGCTTGAATGCTCACAAGTTTTTGCCGAGCCGAAGAATTTAGTGGCCATGTTCACGTTCTAGCTTATTCAGTCACAACTAAATATAATATNTCGCATGACTATTATCTATTTGTAATCTACAATGTATGTTAAATGGCAATTTACAATGTGACTCATGTCATTGCAAGGTTTATGATGGGTTATATGAACACAACTTTATTTATTAGTAGACAATGTATTTTTTGTGATTGGAAACTTTAATCTTACCATTGTTCCCAAGCTCATCCTCTAAACATGGTAAATGATGCATTGGTTCGTTTTTTTTTCCTTTTCTAGTGACAAGATATAACAACTTTTCTCAATCTCAAACATGCATGTATAGAATAATGGTGGCCGCTTTTAATAGTCACCTGCACCATTTCCAAATGTTTAAACTTTATTTTCAAACTTTAACAAAATAAAGGGCCTGCAATAACAATTTAATTTTGTTTTGGTGTTGAGCTTGAATAAGTTCAAATTTGCAATGATCTTGTACATAATAATGCGCGCGAGAGAGAGAGAGAGAGAGGAGAGGAGTTGTTTAGGTATGATTGAGGAATGTTCTATTCTACCCGTGACAACATTTGGGGTCTTTATGTTGTTTCTGAAATATGAGAACTTTAGTGTANACCTTGAATAAGTTCAAATTTGCAATGAGGAGTTGTTTAGGTATGATTGAGGAATGTTCTATTCTAACCGTGACAACATTTGGGGTCTTTATGTTGTTTCTGAAATATGAGAACTTTAGTGTAATTAATACAAACAAGAAGTAAAATTGGTAAATAATTGGGCCTAAAACCGTAAATATGTCCTTCTGTGTAAATCAAACTCAAAACCCCCTCCCTCACTCTCTCTCTCCTTTACCCTGTTCTTTGTTGCCGGGCAAAACTCTCTGAATTTCTCTTTAAATTCCCGCTCATCTGAATCCCTACAGTTTCTGAATTCCAATCTCTAAACCTCTCAAGTCGTCGCTCAAGTTCAACCACTTCGATCGTCCACAAAAAATGGTAACGAATCACATTTCACACAGTCCCTTCCTCATCAAAACTAGCTCAGATCCGTCTTGATTTGGAATAATCACATTCACGGACACACTACTGGTATAATATCCATACCTTCGTACATGTTTTATGTGTTTATTTTTATTAGCATTTCCTCATGTTTGATCAATTTTTGTTTCTGTGACTGAACTAGTTTTCAGTTTCTAGTATATATCTTGAATTAGTATCATCGAGTTTGAACTGATAAGTTTTTGAATGCTATGCGTGTATTTTGTTAGAATTTTCTTATATTTGATCAATTTGTGTTTCCGTAATCGAACTAGTTTTAAGTTACCAGTATATATCAATTATCATGAATGATGAATTCGCATGAGCTAGCCTTTTAAGTTTTGATGAATTTGTATCAGCTAGCTGTTAATGCTTTTGATGATATTTTCTTTTGAGTTTAGAACTGACGAGTTTTTGATTGCTATGCGTGTATTTGTGGAAGCATTTTCTTATTATTTGATCGATTTTTGTTTCTGTAATCAGAGTAGTTTTCGTTACTAGTATATATCATGAAATATTATCAATTAGCTCTTGAAATTTTTTGATGACTTCGTTGTTGGGGTTTAACTCATGAATTTTTGATAGTTTACTTTCTTTGCTAGATGTTCTTAAGTGTGTTTCACATATTTAGTTTTGTGTGATACTTATAGAAAGTAATGATTCCGGCCAAATCAAGGAATAAAATCATGCCTTAAACAAAGGGATAGCATATCAATCTCAAGGATTAGATCATGGCACAAATAAAGAGCAGATCAAGCAGCAAGTCATGTGATAGCAGCAGATCAGCCATTATCTCCCTAAATTTCTCTCAATTTTATATTCTTTCCATTCTTGTCTTTAGAAATTGTTTGTTTGAATTTCAAATGGTTTTCTTCCGTATATTATGTCTATTGTATTCCTTATATAAAGAGAAGAGATTTCCTTCTCTAGTTGTAAGAAAAACAATAATATTTAGAAATTTCATATGGTATCGGAGCCTTAAACGACTTGAATTGTGTGAAAAATTGCCTTCAACCTCTTCTTCTCTATCATGGCCAATACAAAGTACCCATATCCTGCAACTTTGAATGTAAGAAATTTTGTCTCCATTAAACTCACCAATACCAATTATCTATTGTGGAGAACCCAAATGCTTGGACTAATTGAAAGCCAAGATCTTACTGGGTTTATCAATGGTGAATTAATGCCGCCGGATCAAACGATTGCCGCCCCAGATGATGTGTCAACCACTGGTCAGAAGGTGATCATCAATCCAGATTTCGTAGCATGGAGACATTCTGACTGATTGTTAAGAGGTTGGATAATCNCGGTGTTCTTATCGATTGAAGATGCAATAGAGGCATGTAGGTTTTCACTCAAAATCTCAAACCAAACTAATGGGGAAGACTTTGTTGATACATAAGGCAGTCAGATAACAGAGTATCCAAGTTATCAGAAACTGGATATATTGAGTAAATATTTGGTGTAATGCTACTCCAGTATTATTACGTGGTATAATCGTCTAATAATAAATAAATAAGTAGATAAAATGGATCCTATTTTTTCAAATAATCACCTTTCTATGTAAGATAGGAACAACTACATATTGAAAAAGTGTGGTTATTAATTGGGGTCAATGTTGGGTTAGTATGTTGAGATGCTCAAATTATGAATATAAAAGTCATGTTCCTTTAATGAGTTATTTTTTTTTGAGTAATCTGTAGTGTGTAAAGTAATTGCACTTGGTACCTCAAAAAATTTAGATATTCTTACTTTATACCTTTAAAATTTTAGATTTTTTACATTGTGCCTTAATAAATTAAAAATATCGTAATGTGACACTCTCATTAGCTTTTATTGATTACTTTGTTAACATCAATGGGTTGAATTTTTGTGGAATAAATAATTTAAGCTAACAACTAGATCATATTGCAATATTTTTAATATACTAAAGATACAATATGAAAAAGTTTAATCTTTGATGATATAAAATAAGAATTCTTAAATCTTTTAATATATAAAGTACAATTCTCCCTAAAAATAAAGATGTATCTTGGTGCATGACTAGAGTTAATTATTTATTTGATCCTTGAACTATATTATTTATATCAATTAAATCCTTAAATTATATTTTATGTTAATTTAACCTCTAACCTATATCATTTGTGTCAAAGTGACCCTTCTGTCCCACTTTTAGGGAATTCCTCACAAGCACAACACGTAACCTCTAAATTATACACGAATCCCTAACTTACGTGATGCGCAATTGAGTAATTCCGTCAAAATTAACTACCAATTTGGGTAGAGGAGCCATGTTGACATAAATGATATTGTTTAGGGGTCAAATAAATAATTAAATCGCATGACTATTATCTATTTGTAATCTACAATGTATGTTAAATGGCAATTTACAATGTGACTCATGTCATTGCAAGGTTTATGATGGGTTATATGAACACAACTTTATTTATTAGTAGACAATGTATTTTTTGTGATTGGAAACTTTAATCTTACCATTGTTCCCAAGCTCATCCTCTAAACATGGTAAATGATGCATTGGTTCGTTTTTTTTCCTTTTCTAGTGACAAGATATAACAACTTTTCTCAATCTCAAACATGCATGTATAGAATAATGGTGGCCGCTTTTAATAGTCACCTGCACCATTTCCAAATGTTTAAACTTTATTTTCAAACTTTAACAAAATAAAGGGCCTGCAATAACAATTTAATTTTGTTTTGGTGTTGA